GCTTCTTTTTAAATTTCATTTTTTAGTTTGTTCGTTCAATAACTGATACAATTTCAATAATATACAAACGTATGCTGAATTTTGGAACAATATGTTTATCAATTTCTTAACTATTTTTATAATTATTAATACGATACTTAACATTTGTAAGCATCTTAAAATTTCTCAAAATCTTATTCTTCACGCTACCACGTATATACATTATTTTTCCATTAATATATCAATCAATTGCTTTAGTACTTTAATTTATGTTTTCCTTTAAAGTAAAATTATTTTTTAAATTATTGTCAAGATTTTATTGAAAGAAAACTTAAAATTATTGCCAGCTAGCTAAGAATTAAGTCTTCTTAAAAAAGTATGAATAATTTGCTGATCAAAATAATTGATGCAGAACAGCTGACTATTTACTAAGCAAACTAATTTTTTCTAAAAATGAAGATAAATTATAGTAGCCCCTGAATCTCACAGTAAATCTGATTGAGACTGGATTATTCCATTTATTTCAAAGGTGGGGAAAGTAGAATTAACTGCGCATCACTTTGGCGCACGAACTATACAGTAAATCCGATTCCAATATCTTCTTTGAAGACGCATAAGCTCCTATTCTTTCTGCAAGTAGATTTTTAAAATTAAAACGATGGCTCCATTTACCAATTTTGGATTTAAATATACATTTCTAATAAGTTTTAAATTAATCTGATGGATTTAAAGATAATATTTTTTACACTCTGATGACATTTTTTTAAATCGTAACTAAATTTTATATAGTGTCTGAAATATTTTTTTGTATCTCTTCATGTATTTTTATGAAGTTGAGGGAAGAAAATCTAAGTAAAATCTAGAAAGATTAATCATAGTATAGAATCGCCACTGCCCGGTATACCCTACACTGATGTTTTCTTAAGGTCAAGGGCTACTGCGCGGTATACCCTACATTGATGTTTTTTTTAAGGTCAAGCGGCCACTGCCCGGTATACCCCACACTTTTAAGGTCAAGCGGCCACTGCCCGGTATACCCTACACTGATGTCTTTTTAAGGTCAAGGGCCACTGCCCGGTATACCCTACACTGATGTTTTTTTAAGGTCAAGGGCCACTGCCCGATATACCCTACACGGATGCTTGTTTAAGGTCATGGGCCACTGCCTGGTATACATTTGCCCGATACTCCAAACACTGATGTTTCTTCTAATCTATCGTCAGTAAGTATTAAAATATCGAATAAATGTAATTATATCCACGAATAAATTAATATCAAATCGGATGTAATAAATATTTCGGACATTCACCAATACTGACAACAAAGCGATTATGTGATTATCAACATTCACCGGTGAAAGTCAACAACCACCGATTTCGGTCATTCACAGTAACATGCACATCATTTACATAATAACCTCATCAGGACGTTTATTTCATACTTTCCCTAAATAGCATCTGGCATTATATATAATGCCTAGGCAATGTTGTTGTAGTTAATTTACGTTGCACTACAGCTGCACAATGGGCTATTGGCGACGGTCTGGGAAACATCCCTGAGGGTGATCCGAAGACATGCCATCACAATTTTGATCCTCTGCAGAGGGGATGGCACCTTCGCTTCGGTAGCCCGACGACCTGCACGTGAAGTCAAGCACTTTACGATAGAACAGTTTAACAAGGACCCATACCGCACACCTTCGGTCCCTATAAGCAGACTGATCCAAGTGGTCACTCACCCGCACACTGACCACCTAGGCAATGTGTGAAATATAAATCATTTCATATTTTGCCGGCTAGTTTTAGGCATTGTAAATAATGCCGAATTTCATACTTTGCCGGTAACAGATATAAAAATTAATTTTTAAAAAAAAATATAGGTATAACACTTTAAAAAAAAAATACTACGAAAAATACCACATCCCTAATTTTTAGTCAAACAATACTTGCCATACACATCATTTAAAATATTACGTACGGCAACCCTGCTGGTGAGAGTAAATTCTGACGCATGCGCAGTAAATTCTACTTTCCCCACCTTTGAAATAAATGGAATGATCCAATCTCAATCATATTTACTGTGGGATTCAGGAGCTAGTATAAATTATTGATTGTCTTTGATTACTGTTTCTTATTTATTTGAGTAAGGAAAAGTAAACGCTTATGTGTGCCCAGCAAAAATTACAACAATTTGCTTTATTTTTTAAATGAACAAAAAATTATAGACATACAATTTTATTTTGACGTTCAAAGTTATTCTTGTTCTCTATCTTTAAGAAAGTTGCCCTTTTGAAAAGGATGATGTTGAAAAAATTTGCTTAAAAAGTTGTTATCATTATTTCTTTACTTTAACACAATTAAAAAAAATATTGCTATATCAGAAAAATGCTCGATATGCCTTATTTGTAAAGCAGCAACTGAAATAAAAAATAATAAAAAGATGCTATTTTAATAAATTCATTAATTTTCAAAATTCATTCATGACACCAACTTTTACAGAATTTTAATTTTCTCAAATATCTGAAACTCCCATTTTTTTTAATCTGAACTTTATTTAGAAAAATTAAGTTTTTATGCTCGTAGCAGCAAACATTTGCATTTTAATATTTTAACAGATCTTATATAGTCCTTAATAAAGTAAGAAAACTGTTTTATCAGTATTGTAATCATAAAGTTATTATTAAATTTAAAATTAAAATTTTAAAATCCAACATTTCGTTGTCACAAATTTACAAGTTTTTGAAATAAAACATTGAATGTTGTGGTGATTATAAACAAAATAAAATACATCTTCTTAGTTTTGCTGCCACATTTTTAATTTCTTAACCTTACAAACTCTAGTTAAAATGGGGCTATCGTATCAGATGTTGGAAATGATGGTGAGAATCGCAAAATAAGCTTGTAAATAAAGGAATAAAAGAAAGAAACTTTAGTAGCGAAGCTTGGTGATAAATAAGTAACTGATTGCGATCGAAGATCATAGTGAAAGAACATGTTGAGCAGGCTTTAACGAAAGAACATGTTGTTTCAGAACAAAATTTTCATCTAAATGACGTTAAAACAGCTTTAAAAAAAAATAATGTCAGATAAGAAATTCAACTTTCAGATCCTAAAATCTTGGAAAGTCATAAATAATTTATTAATAGATTCAAATTTTATTTTCAAAGGAGATTTAAAAAAAAAAATTTGCTTTCGTTGTCCTGAAAGCAGCCCCAAAATATCTCATCTTGGTTGCTTAGCAACGGAGAAACACGATAAATTGCGTCTTGTTATTCATTCAGTTTCTTTATGGTTGTTTTCAACTATTTCACCTTCTATGGCGAGGTAATTTGGCATTTCTAGGCTTTCGCCATATATATATAAAACTTTATTGCTACCCAATTTTTTCGAAATTTTGCCCTCCCTATTTTAAGGATCTGGATTCCAAATATGTTAAATATATATATGCATACATATATATGTTTATTCAGATAAAGTACGCTTTTGTGTCCGATTTCGTAACATATTTAATAGTTTGCACTCACTAATTAGCATATAGTTTGCAATAGCTAATTAGCATATAGGTCACCCCCAGGAACCATTAAGAACGACTCTTAGTTCGTTAAAATCCGATCATTAGAACGAAAGTTATTCAGGATGACAAAAAAAAATTTTTTTTTGCTGACTGTACATTACATGTTCAGATTGTAGATGGATCAATGGTAGCTTGTTCAGTAGATGGACAGCTCAGATAGATCAATTTAAATTCTGTATATAAGTACGTGCCAAAAGAAGTACTGTTTATACATAAAAACTCTTGCAACTTTAGAACAATTTGTTCGATAGACTCCAATATAGTCTCATTTGATTTACCGTAAAAAGAATATATAGGAATTTTAGATGCGTAAATGTGTACAAATTTGTACTTTTTAATCATAAAACCCTTATAACTTCTAAACTGTTAGTGTGTACTTTCATAAGCAAAACTATAACTTCTAAATTATTAATGCAATCGGGATTGATCTCATTCAGTTTATTGGAAAAGCATACAACAAAAAACATGCCTCTTTTCCCTGTCTAAAAGAAATTCAATACTCCCTCTAAAATCAACACCATTTCCCTCAACAACCAAAAAATAGTAATAATAATAATAAATAAATAAAGGGACAAAGAAAGTAGAGGAATTTAAGTATCACTTACAATAACATAAGAAAGTTTTCTGTGAAGAAAAAAAAAATTAAATTTAACTTCACCTCAATTTGTGAATTTCTAAAGACCCCTATGGAAAAATTATACCTAATTGCTTGCCTGGTTGGTGAAATATATTTACAGGCGAAAAATTCGCCAATCTGTAGAATCTATTATATTTTTTATTTCTCAACTGACATCTGTTTTTAATTTTCTTGGTGAAACGCTTTTTGAAAAATAAAGTAAAATGTATCAGTTTTTTTTTTGTGATTTATAAATTTTGATTTTAAGAGATGCCTCTTTGACGATATTGGAATATACTTACAACTTTCAAAAGATTCTTGTGATCAGAGAAAAGAAGTGTAACTGGAAGGAATAACTTTTTTTAAAAAAACTAACTGCTTTTAATCTTTCTCTTTTTGTGAATTTATAGAAATGACACTTTATAGAAATTATAATGGTTGTGAGAGTCCGGAAAAAATGGTTGTTGTCATTTTTTACTCTTAATATTTTCGTGATTTTTACCTCCATGCAATGCTGGTATTATTCACTAAATTAGTCCTTCTCAAAGATGGGTTTGTCCGTCATCTAAGTTGGGTGCAAAGTTACAAGACAGTCAATGGAATTTTCTGTTCCCGATTGTACAGAAAATTTCTTTTTCCACAAGATGATACTGTGGATTATTAGGGAGTACATTACTTGCGCTTTTAGCTTACGAATTCTAAAAATGTCTAAGATTTTATAAAATGTAATAAATTTTCATAGGTCGTAAAGTTATTTTGATCAGTTATTATTTTGATTGAAAATGATATTATTTCGTAAATGAAGGTTTCCTTTCAGACGTCAAAAGAATATTCTTTCAGTTGTACTTTTATGATTATTTGAATGGCAACAGTTAAGCTAAATGTGTTTTCTTCTCGTTTTTTTACCACAACAACACGGTCTGGTTAAGAAAACTGCTGCATCGGGATGCCGTCCGCCTCTGCCAAAATCGAGAAAGTTACCTCAATTGAGGTAACTGATCCTGTAAAATACTTCTCAAATATGCTGGAAAAGCGTATAAGAAATTTAGAAAAACGAAAGGTAATATAGTTTTTCAAATAAAAAGTGTTTGCTTGAAATTTGAAAACTACGCATGTTCAGCCTTTGTTAGGCTTATCCCACGGGCTTTTCTTCGTTTAAATTAATTCTTTGTTTACCTATCATTTATTCCATAAACAATGTTAATTTTCAGTACCTCCTCTTTGCTGTAATTAGTCTCTTTTTAATTGACGTTTTTTTTATTATGCAACGAATCACAATATTTACCAAATATGGCGGTGTGTTATTGATTGCCAAAATTAGTCGGCATATGTGTTTTAGTTTATAATTATTATATTGATACCAGTGTTAATCATGTAAACATTGAGATTTTTTGTTTATATAATTGGTCAACTTCGTAATGGTTATGGAAATTAAAGCTTTTAATGAGTGACTAAAACAGTTGTAACCTAGAGCACGTTTCTTTGTTCGGATTTGCTCAAACATTTTCAGAAAAAAGCGCTTTGTTAAATTAAATTTACCAAGCCGGCTAGATAGCTAACATTCAAATGCCCCTTTATTATTTCTTTTTTTCTTGTATACAATTAAAGCATTTTTAATTTTTGTGCATTTGATCAGAATGTTTTTAGCACGTTTTCAGCAAAAGTAAGCCATGCAGGGTTCCCATGGTCCTTAAAAACTGCTTATTTTTTATTTTGGAAAATTTGACCCTTTAAAGTACTTAACTTTTGTTCAAGGTTTTTAAAAGTCCTTTATCTTTTAGCATCACTATAGTTGATAGGAACAATTTTTCAGTTCAATTTTTTGTAACAAAATGTCATTCTCTTATCATTTAGAATTAGACCGTGCATTGAGAGTAAAGCCTTTTAGAGGGACAGAAATTAATGTGTGTGTAGAAAGAAAGCATGTCCTTTCATTAATATATTCTGCCCTTTGCCTAGAATGATGCTCTATGAGGAGAGTGAAGCATTCTAAAAGAATAGAATAGCTTGGACAAGGGAAATACTGCACATGTAAGAGATGGTGCTTTTTTAGGGGGAGAGGGCAGTGTTTAGGTACCTAAGTAAAAGATCTATACTAACTTTCAAAATTGACAGGATTCAAGAAATTCAGTTCTACTGGTGATGCATCTGCTTGTAGGAATTAAGTAAAATGCTAAGAAAAGAAGTATCAGAAAGAAGAAAAAAAATTTGAACTAGAATCCATAATGAAAACTACTACCTAAAAACTTGGATTAAATAAATTTGTATAATATTTCAATGTGTAATAAATAAATGTAAATTTATAGGAAGCATAACAATTTTTAAAATTCATGATTGTACTAGTTTTAGATTGTTATGCTGTTATTTTTATTTCTTAAGAATAAGCAGATTTGCCTGGTAATTGAAATTGCTTGGTAATTCTTTGGCAAGCCCTGTTAATTAATACAATTATATCAGTGCTTACATTATAATGAAATTGTTTTTATTATTTTTATAGGAAGGTAAATAATTTGCACGGTCTCTGGTGGCATATGTATATTCGATGATAAACAAAAAGTCCTTAATTTTATCAAAACAATTGCCTTAAAATTGGTTTGTTGAAAGAGAAGGAACCCTGTCATGTTAACACAGATTTTTTTATCTTAGAAAAAAATTAATTATAATGCACCATTTATTAATTTTTTATTGTTATAATTAAATGGTAAAACTACATTAGTTTGCTTACTTATTCCACTTGATGTTTATATGTCAAGATAGTAAATAATGTCTGTATATTTACACATTAATGTTACTTTTAGTGCTAGTAGTTGAAATAAAGTTTATGATTTTATATAAGCTTCTTTCCTAAGTTTACTTTTAATTGTTAAATTTTCTAATTAATCAGAACATAATTTTAAAAAATACACAATACATTATGACTATTGCTGCATTAAAAATTGTAAAATGCAAGCAAATGTATGATCGAAATTTATTTAGAATGGATTATAAATCTTATGATATTTGCTGAAATTAAGAAAAGTCAGAAAAATTTCTCATAGACTTTTTTTTGTTATATTTGCTTTAAAAATCCCCATAGTTGCATTAACTTTTCACTGCCTTTTTAGTTTGTGTTCTTAAAAATTCACAAAAGGTTTGAGGTTCATAAAAGATCATTTCACAGATGTTGTAAATTATAATGCACTTTTGATAATTGATCTTATTGACTTATTATAATTAAATTTTAAAAATTGGTGAAAATCTTTTTTAAAAAAAAAAACAGAGTTGATTTAAAGTAAAAAATTCAAACGTTTGTGCACTTTGTTGTAATTTTAGCTTATATGAATATTTTTAAATGCATTAGTATTTTTTATTTATTTATTCTTTGGGAAATCTCAGTAATTTTAGCATCACATACTGAAATTGACTTGACCGTCTTAGAGTATTTAGACTTTGTTTTCAATTTTAACTGTCAAATAAAATAGCCAGACAGCTTACTTTAAATTAATAATATAAAATTATATGTAGCAGAATGAATATGTTCAATTTTAGAAAATCAAGTTACTCGAATGTGTTGCAGCCTCATTAATAGGTACTTCAGACCATTAATGAAAATATAGGGTTTTCTTCTATTTCATATCTATATGAGCTGATAATGTTAAAACACTATATTTCAATAACTGTACACTTGATTCTCTGCATAAAGAATAAAAATTGAAAACTCATAAAATCTTCTGTATTGTTAAAAAAAAAGTAAGAGTTATGGGATTGAAATAAAATGGTATAAAATCAATAGGAGGAAAATTAACTAATTCCTGGTGTTGTTAACCAACCTTCACAAGAATATAAGGTGTGAGAGAATATTCAGTCACATAATAAAAATCCAGGCTTTTTTCTTTTTTTTTATCAAAAAAAACTTTACGGAATTTGTAAAGAAAAAGAAGAAGAAAAAGCACTTAAATACCATTCTTTAAAAATGCTAAGCCAGTCACCAAATCAGTTTTATAAAAGTCAATAATTTATTACTTAAATTTCTAATGGTTAAAAGAGTTGCATAATATATATTGATTCAAAGAATGTGTGGTTTAATTTATTTATTTTAATATTTATTGCTAAGCTTTTTACGCTATGTCCTAGTCGCACATATCATAGGCTTTGGAATTTCTGAGATTGGTAGTTCTTCAAAGCATTAGCCTTACACTTTGCCTATGCTAATGTAAATACACTGGGAATAGCTTCCTCCCTCAGTTGGGTAATTATGTTTTAAAGATAAATTATCAAAACATAATTGTGTGAAAGCATACATAATTAAAAATAAAGTAAATTGTTTTTATTACCTATGTTGATTACTGATAATTCTATTCTCATGTGTTTAAATTAATTACAGTTTTCTCAATTTTTGTTAACTTGCTGTCTGTGTCTAAATATTTGAATATTAATAATTGGTTTCCTTTTTGTAGATTAAGTTGGACAATTACCGTAGTGATGTAGAAAATGGTAAAGAGTTGAATGAAGATCAGAAGGTAAAAAAAAAAATTTTTTTTTTTGGTTAGATGTGCTGTTTGTTGGAATATGCTGGCTTGAGTTAAAATTTGCTGAGACCATGTTAAGGGAGAATAAGAAAATTGCATTACCTTGAGAAGCCTATTTATTTTTCACAAAGTATAAACATATTGTTTACCCTGCTTAATCATATTTGTAACCAGTATCCCACTTATAAGATTATGGTCATCTGGGAACCAAACATTTTATTATAGATGTATTGTAGATGCAATAAATACTGGTATGATTTTATTAATATTTTGTAAAAAAAAAAATTTATGCTAAATTATATCTTAGACTTACTCGTTTCTTTTTTTAAGATGGTAATCCATCTTCTGCTGAAGCACCTGTAGTTCTTATTGTGATAGACAAAGTCCTATAAGGAAAGGTCTTTGGAATGTGAGTTAAACAGAATTTTGAGTAAAAGGAGTCATAGTCGTGGAGTCAGCTGTGGCTGGCACGTGTCACTTTTCCATAGAGTTTTTACCTGTAGGAGCCTGTTTTTTAGGAAGATCTCCAGTTTTTCTGCATAGCATCAGCTTTTTAGTGGGAATAGTTGAGTTTCAACCCGGTTGAAAGCAATTTTTGGTTATGTCCTGTTATAGTTTGTATGATATCGTCTTTGCGTTTAATTTTATAGGGTAGAGAAATATGATTTCAAAAGAGAGTTTAAATTTGTGCAACAAATGAAGGGTTTTGGAAGCAATAAGAAGTGGGAAAATGCAAACTGTTAATTAAAAAAAATTTTTAAAGTTAATTAAAAAATTAACTAAATTATGTTTAAAATTAACTAAAGTACCAAACATCAAGAAAAGTGCTCATAAGATAGAAAAAGAATGGCAATATAATGGAAGATTTGACCGAAATTGGAAAATAAAATCAAATTTTGGTGAAATCAACCAAACTGCACTGGTATGATTTCACTCTTAAGAGGATAAAATTGATATTGATCAATGGTGCTATAGTTATGCAAAAAGCGGGGAAAGTTGCTTAAAAATACTGAAAAACTTTCTACTTCCTAAGCATGGTAATATAAATTACAGCCAAGGAACAATGTTAAATTTAAGATCTACATGGGGAATGAGATTTGGTAAATGAAACAGTTTGTGATCATGGTGTTAAATGTGATTCTTATTCGATGTTAGATCGATGTTTTTAGTTGCAACAAGGCTAATTTATTATTTAGAGCTATACAAATGGCCATCTTGCTTTAGAAAAACTGCCATAACAGAAATTCAAGGATTAAAGAGAAGTAATAAACTGTCAATCACATTTTTGTTCAATAATGCAAAAGGGGATAATAAGATTGAGCTACTTGTTATTAAAAAAAGTAAGATGCCCAAATGTCTCAAGAATGTATAAAATGCAAATTACATACACATATTTAAAAAACTTTTTTAAATATGTGTATGTAATTTGCATTTCACAAATTTGAACTGTGACTTGGTAAAAACAAATCAAGGATTATTCTGTTTGTAGACATGCAAGTCAAGGATTAAATTCGGCTTTCAAATATAAAAGTGGTATTTCTTCTGCAAACACAATGGCCAAAATACAGCCCTTTGATCAGGGAAAAATAAGAGCATTTAAAGTGCTATCTATATGAGCAACAAATAATTAATGAACTGTTTAAATTTTGGGATTCAGATAAAAAGAACGATATTGATAGATTTTCTTGTCTCTTAAAAAAAACAAGCATGAAGGAATTAGTATTTCATCTGTCATGAAAAAATTTCAGGAAAACCAAATTTACTAAGCAAAGAGAAAAAAATGACTAAGACTTTTTTTTGGCCAAAAGAGTTGCATGTTTTTATTTTTAAAAAAAAATGATCAAGCTGTGAATTCTACAGTCATCTTTAAGGTGAGTTACAACAGTCGATAATTTGTAAGAAGGCGTTTCAAGAATCAAGGTGGGGGCTAAAAATGATAATGTTCTTTATTTATAATTTAAAAAAGGAGATTGAAAAATGTTCGCAAAACACTATGGAAAAATAATTTAATATATATGGATTTCTATATCAAAACATAAAATTATGTGAAAAGGTTTTGTAATTCAAGTGGAAAGTTTTTTTTCTTCTTTCATATGTGATATTCAATATAACTGCCACTGTATTATAGTATATTTATCCATATTTTCATTTTGTGTTTGCTTTATTTAAAGGAGAAAAAAAATTTTGCTAGCATTAAATTATTTTAAACTAATACTAATTATTTTTTTCTTTTTGAGGTATTTATCAATGGGATAATGGCGCAAGCAAAATTTCCCCACATATTCAAATACCCCACTTAATTGAGTAATATATGTATGAACTGATGATATTTCTTTGAGCTAGCTACTACAAATCACATATTAATACATTACTGATAACTTACTAATTTTTATAATCAAATACTGTTTAGTGTGAAAATTCTAGCAAAGTTAAATTTGTTTAAATTTAAGCTATTTTTATGATATTTATTGCTGACCAATCGTAAAGTCAAAATTTTTATATTATGTATTTTAATTACTTGAAATTAATTATTGATAAATGAATCTAATTTTTAGATGGCTGTTAGTAAGTATGGTGAAGTTTTGAGTTGCTTGGAGATGTTTAAAGAGTTAACAAAGTCTGTACAAGGAATGGCACAAGAAGTAAGCATTGCATAACACTTTGTTAGATTTTTTAAATTGAACTTGCCATAAGGTGATAGATCTAGAACAAGGATGGCAAACCAATGGCACGCGACACAATATTTCGGACGCGCCACCGATCACAATTGTTATTGCGCTATGAATTGTTATTACACAAATGTCACACACTATGAAGCATATGTAACAATTAAATTAAAATTCACAAAAAACAAACAATAATAAACAATTAATAAAAAAATTAACAATTAATGCTAAAAGAACAATTAATAACCATAAAAAACAAGCTAGCAATAAATAACTAGGAAAATAATCAACAGTCCTGCTTAAACTAATATCTTACAACCTAATATAAGTTATTTGTCATTTAATCTGCAATAACAGAAGTCCCACTGATGCTACTTTAGGTTGAATTACGCGTATAACTGAGACATTGCAAAATGTGTTTTCTTTTCAATGTAAATAAAGAGTTTTAAGTTGATAGTATTTAGTATTATAATTTTCCCAATAATCATGAGGTCAAAATTATTTGACGGCACATCTGTGATTTCATTAAACAATTTTTTAGAAAAAATGGCACGTTGGTGTATAAAGGTTCGCCACCCCTGATCTAGAATATCATAAAGTTAGTTTCAAAAACATACTTTCAATTAAGTTTGTATTGAGTTTTAATTTCTTTAAGTTTTAATGTTTCATTTAATGTTATACTGCATGCATTGGTTTAATTTTTTTTTCACTCAAAATCTCAATTTTGATTGTTTTGTCCATTAGAAAGAATTTTACTTTTTCAAAGCACTTTCTCTGCTGAAGGACTTATTCCATTGCATTTTAAGATTGACAAAAATTTGCAGTTAAAAATTATACATGCAATTTTACATTCTATTAATTTTTTGTTTTATATATCAATCTTATTCTCTATTAATTTACAGATTTTTGAGTGCCTGTTAAATTATTTATATTTTGTAAGCTTATTGCTATAAAATCATCTCCACATATTTTCTGTTAATACTGTATTTCTTTAAAATCGGGAAGGACTTCTTTGCATTCATATAAATCAATCTAATAATTTTTCTTTGTCATTCAGATAAAGGGGTAAACTTTTTTATGATTTTATAGCATGCAAGGCAAGTAAAGAAGCTTGCCAAAAAAGAACAGTTAGAAAGGCAACAACATGAGGTTCAAAGATTGCAGGAGGCATTCATATATAGTCACTTCCTATCCTGTTTCCAAGATGAAGATGTCCGAAGTGACTTCTTAAATGGAGAAAATGGAGCTGTTGTAAGTTGATTTTTTATTCCAGAATCTTTTATTTTGAAGGGCTTTGGAAAAGCTGGTCTGCTAGACCAGCTTTTCAACAGCTATGACAGTGAAATTATCTAGACAAATATTAAATTAGAAAGTTTATTATAAATGTATTTAAATATTAATGATAAATATGTGTTAATGAATATAAAAACATTGAGAAAATACTGTATTTTTATTGATATTGATAATCAAATAGAATATGGTTTGTGATTGTTTCATTACTTTTCTAAAGTATTTATTAAATTCGGCACTGTAACTCGTCTAGCAAAATTTTTTATTTAAAATAAATTAAAATCATGTCCTTCCAATATCATAGCTAAATTTTCTCTATAAATTATTCAAAGATTTTGGTAATTCACAAAGCAATTTTTAAAAAAATCAATAAATAAACTTGTTAAGAAATGCTGTCTGAAAAGCGTGAACTTTGCCTAGTGCTATGATGTTGTAAATCAGCACGGTGTCCTTCTAGTCTAAGAGGCAGTTAATTCACTAAATTGTAATATTTGAAGCTGTTTCTTTTTATTCTTTTCCATCCTGTTATAGATATACTTGTCAATTTAGTCACGAATTACCTTATATTTTCATCAATATTTCTCAGTTTGTGTAATCTTTTGGATATTGCATTAAAATTTACCTCGAGGAGACTAATGGAAATAATTGCAATTTTTATAAAATAAAGTGATTGACAAGCTAAAATACCTTGTGATCAACATGTTCTTATAGCATTCGAATATTGATACCAGTAGAAAACAAATTTTGAATGAGCATCTTCAAAATATTTTTTCCCCATTCCTGTTTTAGTTTAACGTACATCCCCAATTAACTACTCTTTCTGCATAATGAGTGTTAGAATGTAGTTGGAAAACTGCTCACTTTCCAAAGATAACATTTTTACCTCAAACTATGTTAATGCTCTACAAGTTTTCCCCATATTTGTGAAGAGCATATTACAGGGGTGGCGAACCTTTATACACCAACGTGCCATTTTTTCTAAAAAAATTTTTAATGAGGTCATAGACGTGCCGTCAAATAATTTTGCCTTCGTGATTATTGGGAAAATAATAATGCTAAATACTATCAACTCAAAACTCTTTAATTACATTGAAAAAATAATATATTTGCAATGTCTCAGTTATATGCGTAATTCAACTTAAAGTAACATCAGTGTGACTTCTGTTGTTGCAGATTAGATGACAAATAACTTATATTAGGTTGTGAGATGTTAGGTTAAGCTGGACTGTTTATTTCTTGTTTTGTTATTCATTTATTGTTAGCTTGTTTTTTATGGTTATTAATTGCTTTTTTAGCATTAATTGTTAATTTTTTTCATTAATAATTGTTTATTATTTTGCGTGTTTTTTGTAAATTTTAATTTAATTGTTACATATGCTTCATAGTGTAATAACAAATATGATCGGTGGCGTGCCCAAAATATTGTGTCGGGTGCCATAAATGGCACGCATGCCATTGGTTCGCCATCTCTGGCATATTACATGAAAACATCTTATTTACTGCATGAAAAAGAAATTTACAAATACTTGAGAATTACTTATCCTATTACCTAAATCTCTTCGGTTATACTTTGGTAATTTAATTATTAAAAAAATTGTTTGACAATTTCAAACCATGTAAGCTATATTTTTATTAATTTTATGTTTATGAATATGATGTACTTGATTTCTCATAATATATATATTGAATAATATGTGTTGAATGTTTATATATTTGTAGCAACTTACGAGTGAGCAGTTGTCCCAACTGGACCAGCTTTTCAAATTGATCGGACCCAGGTTGCCAACTGAACAGTCAGATATAACTAGTCATTACCATGTTTTGGCTGAGAACCATATCTTCCTAGTGGAGGGCAAAAATAAGGAAATCGCTGGAACAACCTGTATCCTTTTATTAACTCACATTAGTTTTTGTGGTGTGCAACTTTCCTGCAAATTAATGATATTGTTTCCCCCCCCCTTCATTTCCTTTTGTGGAGGTTGGTATATTTGGTAGAATCCCACCTGAACTCTGGGAAGAAATCTGACTCCAACTCTCGTATAACTTTCCACGTGAAAATGTTCATGAGAAAGAACTACAGGTTTATGTCATGTCACTCCATAAACAACACTCCCAGTTCAAATAAGCAACTATCTTTATTAACATTCATGCAGCATAGAAAAGGCTGCAAATGAGTTACCGGCAAGAACATGCCTTACTGCTAGCTAGTTACTCACGAACCGACGGGGAGAGAGCTGTGGAGAGGCGGCCAAGATATATCAGAAATCATCCTGTGCGCGTTTCGCCGATTTCGTATGTCACGCATGTATTCCGAGGAAATCTCCATTCAGGTGTGAGATCTGTATCATACAACAATTATCGTCTGCAAGCGACGTAATCCAACGTCAGAGATTCGTATATTCGGACTTCGCAAATCAGACCGCAACGCCACACCTTCTTGTTAAATAGTTCTTCGTAATAATTATATATTGAACTGTGGGGCTGTATCCACAAAGTGTACGGAAGCAATTTAAATACCTTATCTATTCTATCCAATATTTTGTTTTTAATTTTTATGACTTATGTGTGTGAATTGAGGGTGATATACTTATTAGGCGAAGTTAAATATTAAAAGTCATTTTGACTTGTCCTCTTTATTCAGTTTATTTAAAGTAATTTTATTTGGTTTAAAATCATAAACAAAAATTTTAAGAATTGTACAACTAATGGTGGATTACCCTATTGATTTTCAAAAAAAGAAAAAAAATGTTTAGTGGAAGTAGTCCAGAACTAGGGAAACAATTCAATTAAAAAGATAAAAACATAATTCCAAGTTTCAAAGGAATATATCTTCAGATTGGCTTTTAGTAATAAAAATTTTTTCCAATTGAGATTTTAATATATAATGGCATTTTGAAACAACTTTAGTGTCTACAATTTTTTTTTTCCCCTTCCTCCTATTTCCTTAATTCCTTCTTATTTCCTTAAAAATAAAAACTGAAAAATAATTTTTGTGTGCAGAAAATATATTTATACAGGCATGTAATACTGCTGATTCGTATTTTTTAGAACAAGTTTTGTAACCTATACTGCACATACTAGTTGTAAATTCTAGTCTTATAACAAAATATTGTCAGTTTTTATGCTCATTTATTTTTTCCAAAGTTTCATTATGTAAATAACAAGATCCAATACCTTTCAAAAGATTTAAAAAATCACCAATTTTTGTGTGCAGAAAATATATTTATGCAGGCATGTAATACTGCTGATTCACGGACTGCTGCAAATCTAAAATTTAACTTTCATTACTTACTCGAAATCTCGTTAACCAGACACTTATTCCACCATTGCCCGCACCATTTTTTTCTTCCTAACTTCTCATGCATGCACAGTGATGACTATGTAAATTTGTGGCCAACCATGTTATTCTGCATACTTAATAGAAACACCTTAACATAAATGAAGATAAAAATTTAAAAGAGACTCTTGTGAAGATCAAAGAGTGTGGATATTTTTCACGTCCCACTACAACAGTTGAGGAAAGTGAAGCTTCCAGTGATGAGATGCCAAATGAACAAACTGATCATGAATTTGTTCCCCAAGAAAATAATTCTGTTGAATCTGACTGCACTGTGAGTATCTTACTTTATTAGATAGGACTGGTATGATTTAAATCACTTGTTTATGTATCTATAATTAGTTTAAGCAGACAGCAGTTTGATTTTATTCATTTTTCAATTAGAAGGTTGGAAAGAGATTAAGTGTATATAAAGATGGGGTGTAAAAGTTTTAATAAGTTTAAGTGTTAGTTAATTTTTAGACGAATTTGCATTAAAAATTTAAAGTTGTGTTAGAGATGTTTTAGAAAAGTTAAATTTATTGTATGACCAGGGGCCTGTTCAGATCAAATTTACTACCGTTGAGCAGTACCTTCACAAATTCAACTTTAGGGAAAACGGTAGTTTCACAAAATACTTTTTCTTAAAATTTTATTTTTATGTCCCATAAGAAGCTATAAATTCATATTTTTACCATACTTTTGTGTTGATTTTTTATTAAAATTTTTAATTTTCACAAATGCAAAAATATTATATATGAGGTTATAACAGTTTTATTGACCTAATATTTAAAATGCTTTTTTCTTGTAAACCTGCATTCGTATTTTAATTAAGTGTTTACTCCCTTAGATTGAATATGCTGTTGAGCCTGAGAGCAATGTTGATGAACAAGTGCCTGTGGAAGCACCTGCCAGTGCTCAAAGTGGTCCATTGCAGGAAGTGCTTGAGCAACAGGGCTCTTTTAACTTTCTTCAAGAATCCCAAATAGATCTTGATGGTGATTATTTTTATGTACTTCAATTATCATATACAATTTTTAAAAAGATTAAGTGAAAAAGAAGTGATGTCATGAAAATGCATGGTATATTTAAATTTTATTTGAAAGTAATGTAAGTGGTGCAGATAAAGTCTCAAGCTAAAATAATTATAAGTTTACATAAAATAAAAAAAATTTTAAATTTAAACTATCATTTAAAAAATTTGTTTTACTAAGGTTGCTTTTAAGTACTATGTCTTTAACATATTGATTTTTTTTTTTTTTTTTTTTTTTTTTTTTTTTTTTTTTTTTTTTTTTTTTTTTTTTTTTT